AAAAAAAAAAAAAAAAAAAAAAAAAAAAAAAAAAAAAAAAAAAAAAAACTAAATCACATTAATTTTTTTATAATTCATATATATCTTATATATGAATTATATATTAAATAATAATATATATTAAAAAAGGAATTTCTTTAAAATCTTTTCATATTACAAATATTTCATTAATATGTCACATTTTTAAAAATATTGCATTTTTTAGTTTTTCATATTTAATTTTGTTTAATATCTAGTTTTTCAATACTGTAGCAATTATTTTCTTTTTATATTATTTGTTCATATAATATTTCTGAATTATCTATGTAATTATGTTATAAAGAAAAAATATATTTCTTTGTAATATTGATTTCATTTAAAATTTAAATCCTTGTAAGCAGTCTTCTATAGCAATATTTTAATTTTGATTAAAATTTGATTTTAAATTTTGATTAAAATATATCATTTTTAATTTTTTTTTTAATAATATTCATATTAAGTGATAATCTAAAACAATAAAATTTATATAAAATGCTATTATACATATAATATTATAAATAAATAATTATTTCATTTTGAATTATTTTGAATTATTACCTATCTCATTTTTAATGTGTATCTTCAAATAGACTTCAAAACTTGTAATTATTTTACAAATTATGAGAATGTACCTATAATGATCATAGATTTTATAATTTATAATAAAAAAAAATACATTTAAAAAAATAATAGAATTGAATAGAATAATAAAAATAGAATTTTATACTTACTGAAGATATAATTCGAAGATGGATTAATAATGATGCGAGTTCAAGGTCTTCACTATAATTATTTTGTAATGGAACACTTCTATATCCTGATCGTAGACATCGCACCTTAACATATTACAAATTAAAAATATTTGAATAGTAATTTAAAAATAATAATGATTTTATATAATATACATACAGGATAAGTGGCTTGTCCAATAAAATTACTATCACCAAACATATCTTCATCTTGTACAACAAATCGTATGAATGCGAAATATGGATTAAAAACTTCAAATTCACAAGATTCATTCCACATAGGATTGAATCCATTATCAGCTATAATGTTAATTTAATTATTATCCATATATCAAAATATTTTAATATATAAAATTTCCATGCTTACGTATTGTTCTTGTTGTTAATTTTGTACCAGAATCAAAATCCGCTCCTATAATTTC